TGACTCTATGATTTATCAAGCATTAAATGTAGTTTCTTTTTATCCACCTGCAAAAACAAACAAACAAATAACAGCAACAACAACAAAAAAACTTCCATAAGATTTCTTTGAAAAGGTCTGTTTTTTGGATTTTAGCTATGAAATGTTGATTCCTTGGGAAAATGTGTGTACTCTGCTCTAAGTGGTTTTACACTGTCCAGCTCGACGCTTTTTTTGCTCACCAATGCAGCTCAGCAAAATCCACTCTTCTTCAACCTACTAAATCAGGAGAAGGTTTTTTTTCATAATCTTAATTCTTAAAAAAGTATCAGTCCTGAATTAAAAACAATTGCAACTGTCAAAATTAGAAGTCATAGAAGTCTCAGCTGAGAATAAGATGTCCTAATATCAGGCTGAAAAAAACTGACTGTCTCTATCTTGAAGAAAGAATTACCAAATGAACACAGAGTCATGGATCTGAGTGAGGAATATATAACACTGAAGGGTATTTAATAATGAGAAGAACACAGGTGCAGCTAATTGTAAGCAATATGCATACAAACACACTAGCTGTTGTTGCTGTAGTCCATGTAAATTTTGTAGACAGTTATTACAGCAGAAGAAATTACCACTGATTTACCAGAGTGACGGTATTTACGCACTTCTCAACCACCTCAACTCTGTCTATCATCTGGGCCCTCAAAAGTCAACCAGTGTTGGTTCGGGTGCTTAGTGGGGATACTTTGTCAAAGTATCCTGCTAGCTGAGAGCAGCACACTCCCTTTATTTAACCAGTCTAGGTGCTAAATTCTAAACTGCATGTTTGGAATTACTGACAATCTTACAAGTCACAAAATAGACATGCTAAACTGGCTTGCACTCAAAATTTCCACATGGAATACGCTGACCCTAATGAGTAGCACTGCTAATGTCTGTGGAGGATGAGGTTGTTTATAGATCAGTTCTTCAAAGCTCACTGCCACTTCAGACATCTAAGTGAATGTCACTTATTCTTCTCTGTAGTGTAAATCTTTTACTCTATCTCAACCTCAATATTTTAGTCAGTAAAAATACACCAGTATACATGAATATAGTAACTCCATTAGTTGCTGTCTAATGGCCATGTCTTTTCACAGTAATTCTCTTTCACAGAATATTCTATGGGTTACCCAACCAATTTGCTTTCTTCTCAGCCTACTGTCCTACAAAGCTGGACCTAAAGCCACCACTTCATGCACTCTAAATGTAATGTCTTTTATATCCTGATCTGTTACAACAACATTCTGACTGCACAAAGACTTTTGGCAGAAAAAAGAGCAGACAACCGGCCTTGAAAATCATGAAATAATACAGGCAGCAAGCTTTATTAAAAGGAGCTTTATAGTCACTTGCTAATATTATCTTCTGGGTTTTACTTAGGAAAAAACATGATAGTAAATTCAGTCTGGATATTGCACATAGTGATAGTTCCCCAGGCAGTAATTCCTGAACTTCCCAGTCAACATTACAGATAACAGACAGCACTTTAAAACGTACAAAACAAACAAACAAACAAACAAAAAAACAACTCTGTTGCTTTGTGATCTGTCTCTTGGTAACTTCTTTAAATAATTTCTGAATCTGAAAAGGAACATCAGAAATACCTTGTTCAGCTTAGTCTTGGCTGAACTTAACAAAACCAAAACAGGATACAGAACATCGTGAGATACCTGGAAAAGGAAGTATAGCAGATGCCTGCTCTGATAGGAAAATAGCTGAACTAAAGTAATGCTGAATGGCGTTAGTTTATCATACAAAGACATTTAATTTATGTCATTATTCTCTGTGGACAGGTAAAGCACCCCAAGGCCTTCACATATTCAAGATTGAGCATAGTGGACAAAGGCTCTTTCAAAGTGCAATATTTAATGAAACTTAAATTATGTCTCAGAAGAGCAATAGAGTGCATATTAAATATGACACGCTGAGCCATTCTATTTAAATGCATGTGCTTTAAAGTAATTGCCATCAAGTTCATACAATCCCAAAAGGTTTTAGTCAGTATTTTAATACAGTCATGAATACAGCTTCCATGTTAACATACACTTCATCATGTTTTGTTTACATGAGGCACAGGACAGAAGGGTAAGTAAAGGTCTGCAAATAAGACCAAACATTTAGGAAACACAGAAGTATTTCTGCCATATCAGCAAACATGCAGAATACTACTGGATTGGTGGCCTCAAGCCACAAAAAATGGGAAAAAAGTGATTTTTTTCCCCAGTAACTGATGAAGGAGATAGTTAAAAGCTATATTCAAAAACCTGAAAAAACAAATGGGCTTGAATTACATGGTTTTGAAAATTGTTGGAATAGAACTGACATGATTTTGAAAAAGGTCAAGCTAAAAGAAGGATAAAGGAGAGCATGGTTGTGTATGCTGACTATAATATAGGAATTCTGTTATGTAATGCACTCCCTCTCAAACCAGGGAAGTAGCATTCAAACAAGAGGAAAAAAGGCTCAAAGCAGCAAGACTTAAACTCAAATACACTGCTTCAACAACTACAGCAAAAGCATGAATATTTGTCATAGTACAGAATGTGATAAACAGAATTAAAGACAATACTTGGGAGTAGGAAGTGAAAGCTAGAACTTCAAGATTTGACTCCTTTCTGGCACAAAGTAGAATGCAAGAACAAAACAGACCACAAGAAAATGTTGAGGAAAATGTAAGTATCTCATACAATTGTACTAGCACTTCATCAGATCATAGAATCCTTTAGGTTGAAAAGAGCTTCAGCATCGTCAAGTCCAGCCATCAAACATGACCTACCAAGACCCATAGCTAAACAATGTCCCTCAGTGCCACTTAGAAACACAAACTCATTTAGATTGGAACAGATTTAAAAAAAAAAAAAAACAACAAAGAAGTGAAGTGAAAAACTTACCAGATAATTTGAAAGTTATTCTGCGTTTTCTGCCAGCCATGAACACAAGGGGTTTGGGCTAAATATCAGCTTTAAAGCAGATGAGATCATTTCTGCAATTATATTCGAAATACTAAATGTTAGAACTAGTGTGTATAAAAAAAAAATCAGATTACAAACAATAAGATTTTAACAGGCATATCCTTTAGGAAGTGTATTTAATTTTACAGCTTTGTAGTTTCCCATAACCAAGGATCATGCAAGTGTAAACCTACCACCCAAAGACCATTATGGGATGAAGTGATAATTTAGCATAATTTTATTGGAGATAACTTTATTTAAATTCTCAAAAACAAGAAGATAAGACAATTGGTTAGATGAAACTTTTGCAACTAGACTTGAGAAAAACCTTACTGTGAGAGCAACAGAGAACTGGTACAGAAAGGTTATGGAGACTCCTCTGGAGATGCTCACAACCTGCTTTCAGGTGCAACATGTTCTATGGAACCTGCTGCTGCAGACTGAATGATCTCCAGACATCCCTTCACTTTATGGTTCTGTGACTGCGTGACTTCAGTGATAACTTACTGAAGTTCATGCAGACGCAGCAATCTCAAAAAATGCTTAAAAGCTCTTTGTTATCACTTCACGTGGATTTGCCTCTTATCAATATATACCTCTGAGATTTTTATTCCCTGCATTTTATAGATCTCTACTTTCTGCTCAAGAAATGTGTCCGCTTAAGAAATTAATAAGAACACTTTATATAAAACTTGTGTATAACTGTGAAATATGTTTACATTAGCTGGCCTATAGAGACTTCCATTACTTGGAGGGACCCTAAAGTTTAATTTAAAAGCTTTGCACATTATATTAAAAAATATATATATATATAATATATATATAACACAATCCTTTCTTTTTTGAATATGCCAACATATTCTAAAAGGATGTTTTCAGATTAACACTTTAAAAGTTACAGCTGCACTCTTTTAGCACTGTATCTTCACATAGTTCTGTTGCACTATTGGATTCTTCATGTTGCGCATGGATTCTTCATGCTGCTTGGGTTATGCACATCGCAGTGAAACCTGCTGGTAAAGCGGACAATCCTGTGGCTGTTGGGTGATTGTACCCACTGTAATTCCTGAGCATTTAATTAACACATTTCTAAGAATACTTCCACATATATAAAACAAGCAGTCAAGTAATCAAGCAATACATCCAAACAACACCCAACATTTATCAACAAGTCACAACTGCACCATGTGATACTTTTTATTACATTTTGAGAGCACATTATTTGATGCTGTAAATCCAAAGAGAGAGACAGAATCACCAGTGTTGCAAAGGTCCTCTAAGACCATCTAATCCAACTGTCCACCTATCACCAGTACGTTCCCACTAAACCATGTCCCTTAGTTGACACCTCAATGATTACTAAATTCCTTCAGGGACGATGACTCCATCACCTTCCTGGGCAGCCCATTCCAGTGCCTGACCACTCTTTCAGAGAAGTTTTTTACTAATACCCAACCCGAACCTCTCCTGGTGCAACTTGAGGCCATTCCCTCTGGTCCTATCACTAGTTACGTGGGAGAAGAGGCCAAACCCCACCTTGCTACAACCTCCTTTTAGGAAGACTTGTGCTCCAGACTCCTCACAGCTTCATTACCCTTCTCTGGACATGCTTGAGGGCCTTGATGTCTTTCTTGCAATAAAGGGCCCAAAACTGAACACAGTACTTGAGGCATGGCCTCACAAGTGTTGAGTACAGGGGGACAATCACCTCCCTGCTCATATTGGCTACATTATTTCTGATACAAGCCACAAGTGTTAGCGCACTTCCTAAGAGGTTTATGCTGACATTATATAGGAGAGTAACAACTACTACTAACTATTGTTAGTTTGACACTGAAATAGAGTGCTATAAGAAACCAGTCCCAAACCTGAAAACACCAGGGAACTCTTGGGGGAGGGAGAAGAAAAAAAAAAAAAAAAGACTGAGTTCTTTGCAAGTTATCATTACAAACACTATTTTCTGAAGGAAGATGGGTCAGGAAAATGATTTCTTTGACTTTGAGGAACTGCATTACAGAGGCCTGAGGTGCGTTTCACCTCACAATTCCAAAATAACTGCCAGTCACAAATCACACTTGAGATAACCATTTGCTGAATCACATTTTTATTTAACAACTGTGATTTTACGTGGAAGTGTGAAATACAAATCAGTATTTATGTGAGGGTGAACAAAGTCCATCCTTAGAGACACAGGTGCCGTTTCCCATTCAGTGCCCAGGCAACATGGAGCTCCAGGGACGAGAGGCTTTCACAGGAGTGCTGCTGACATAACAGTCAACTAGGAATTGCCCAGAGACATCTTCTGGTATGTGCAACTAAGCCGACACGATCCTGTCTACAGCACGGTTCTGAGGTGACGCGGGACCAACAGGGGTGATTCTCTCCGCAACAACGGCGGCTGTCAGTCCTTCTTCGACTACAGCGTCGGCCTCTTCCAACAAGTGTCCCTTTCCCGGCTCCTGCAACGCTGCTCAGACACACGTTCAAGCGAGGGACACCCCGCACCGAGCTCCGTGCCCGGAAAGCGGCTTCCCTCAGCGCGGCTCCCCTTCGGGGCTGCGCGGGGCGGGGGGAAGGACGGCACCACCCCCATCTCCGCCGAGCCCGACGCAGGGCAGCGCCGCCTCCTCCTCCTCCTCGGGAACGCCCACTCGGGTGACGTCGCGCTCGTCCGGTCTGAGAGCGGATGGTGGCCACGCGTCGTCCCGCAACAGCTCCTGCAGCTCCTCGTCGTCCAGCTCCGCGCGCTCCCGGCAGCGCCGCAGATGCTGCAGGACGCGGCGGTGTTTCTCCTGCAGCCGCTCCAGCTGTACCCTCAGGGTCTCCGCCTCCCCGCCCTGGCCCGGCCACTCGCCCTTCTCTGGCTCGTGTGGGCCGGGTCCCAGCAGGGCCTGGCGGAAGAGGCAGCGGTTCTCGCGGCGCAGGCGGCGGTTCTCCAGACGCAGCCGCGCGTTCTCCAGACGCAGCCGCGCGTTGTGCCACTCGCGCTCCTCCCGCTGCCGCAGCGCCTCGCAGTGGCTGGCCGCCAGGTCCGCGTAGCGCTCCGCCAGCTGTTGCGGGGAGCCCCGCGACTGGCCCCGCCAGCCCTTCTCGCCGCCCGCCTGCAAGAGCTCCTCTGCCCCGCCAGCGCCGCGGCCCCCCCTGCCGACCCCGGCGGCCAGCCCCGCCCGGCCTCTCCGCAAAGAGCCATTGCAGCCCCAGCGCCCGTCCACCGCGCACATGCGCCTCATCCGTGCCGTTGCCGCCGCTGCCGCCGTGGTGGCCGCCGTCGCGGGTGGAGGGAGGGAGGGAGGAGGGAAGCGCACGGCGCGCCGGCGCCGCTTTATGTAAATAGAGGCGGGGTTTCCCTGCCGGCGGGGCGGTGCCGTGCTGGGGGCGGTGCCGTGCTGGGAGCGCGGAGTTTCTGTGCCCTGAGGCGGGCTGCTGTGGGGCGGTGCGATGTTGGCCGGTGCGCTGCTGCGCAGCTTTGCGAGGGCTGCAACGTGCCGTGCTCCACGCAGGATATCAGCGTCCATCCTTTCACCTGACGAGGTGGGGCGTCGATAGCTGGCACCAACCAGCAGTGCGTTTACTCGGAAAGCTGTCGGATGTGTGCTCTTCGTGTCTCTAGAGTCCTAGAATCATAGAATATCCGGAATGAGTCCATACTTCTATGATTCTGTGAGTTGGAAGTGGTGATAAGGGTGATAAGGATCACCCCTTCGTCCTGGCTCTACACTGGATCACCCAAAATCCAAAACCTGTTTCTGAAAGCGTTGTCCAAATGCTGCTTGAACCCACTGCCTGTTCCATGCCCACTGCGCTCTGGTGTAGATCCTTTTCCTGATATCCAGCCCGACCTTCCCCTGACACAGCTCCCTCAGGTTCTGTTGCCAGAGAGCAGAACTCAGCGCTGCCCCTCTGCTCCTCTTTGCTCTCAGGAGGGAGCTGTAGTCCAGCATGATGTCTCCTTCAGTCTCCTTTTCTATGGGCTGCAGCAAGCAGTAAAATGTCATCTCAGAAGTACTTGTTAAACAAAGGCATAGTCCTGTGATTTTTATTTGGTCTATTATTCCAGAATCCCATTGTTGGGATTCACAGAGAAAAAATGCAAGATACAAGCACAATAGGCTCGTACTGCTTATAGATAGTTTGACTTAAGTAGCTTACACATGGCTTCCAGGTGAAGGAAAGGGCATGTGAGTTCCCTGTCCATGTCATCTGATCATAAAGAAATCCATCTCCTGAAATTCTTTCTCTTAACTGTTCTTTAATAGTTTTACACATACACGCCTGTACAGTTAAGTTGTCCTGTTGAGATTACCAAGGCTACTCAGTGCATACCACTGCAGAACTCTGCTTTTTTTTTTTTTTTTTTTTGCACTTCAGTTTGTAAACTGTCTGTGAAAGAGACCGTGCTTTACTAACTGCAGGAAGTGACTTGATCTAATGTTTTGTTATTGACCAGCTGAACATTTAAAGGATCGTGTATTTAAAGTTCAACAAACAATGCGTTATCACAGTTATCACAATGCATTGTGATAATTATGTTCAGAACCTTATTAGTTCTGAGTGATGTTTACTTAAAAAGTTTGGAAAATAAAAAGCAAATAATTGTAGAACAGTTGTAATCTTGGTATTGCTTTAGTTTTGCTGGGGCTGCTGATCAGAAAAAATGGATCCATAGCAATTATGTCCTGTACTAAACCAACTACCGAATCAGAGGGCATTAGAGTAGTCCTTTGCAGTTTGTGACGAAGCTGGTTTTACATTAAAAGAAGCAGGTTAACACCTGTTTCTTAGTCAGTTTATACTGGTGCTAGCTTTGGAAATCCAAAAGCACACTCAGTGACAAGATGCCCATAAAGATATACAGCATGGGCATCCAAACTTTCAGTCTGCCTGGGTTGCACTGACTGAAGAGGAGTTGTTTATTTCTTATTGGTTTTTACGACATAAAAGCTACAAAAATGTAAAAACTTGTGGGGTATTTCACCGTGTTCTTGTGGAACTAATGCATTCATCCAGTTTGATGAAAGTGACTGCAATTTTTTGTGATCTTTCATACTTCTGATGACATTTTACTCTTCTATTAGATCCTTACCAATAATTGTTCACAAATGTGCATACTGCCAAAAGTAATGACGTGAATAAGGTGTGATTATGAGCTGAGAGATGCATTTCTCTGGTGAGATAGGTCTTATGGAAGTATACTAGAGACAGGGTCAAATTTTTGAGTTAATGATTACAACTCTCCAGATTCCACTTGAAAATTTTTAGTTAATTTCACTTAAAAAATATTAACTCTGTATGCAAACATGATGGTGCATCAACAGGGAGCAAGTTGCAGTGCGAGCTGTGCCAGGCTGCATGGGGCCTGCGGGCTGTGGGTTGGACAGGTCTGATCTACAGTGAGCTACAGGTCAAATCCAGAAAAGTACTAGAGACTCGTCAGTGTATAGAAGGTGGGCAGACACTGGAGTGCTAAGAAGCTATGCATATGGTTGCTGTCGTCGTTAAGTTCACCTTCAACGTTGAGTTGAAGCTGAATGTTCCTTAAGTCTTCTAGTAGATGTTGCATTATGACTTTCAATTTATATTCACCTATTTTAATTTTTCACATATTTTCATGTACTCCAGGAATTGACTGTGCCCATGGCAGGTGGGTTGAAACTAGGTGATCTTTGAGGTCCTTTTCAGCCCAGGCCATTCTATGATTTTATGAAATTACATGCAAGTATAGAAAAATACCAGCTGATAAACTCTATTCCTATAAAAACTCCGCCCACATGGGAGAGGTGGATTTACTGCATTTCAGATTTGTTAGACAATGTTTTAACACCAGTTTGATATTCTGAGTTAAATGGCAACGATAGCAAGTAGTGATCTGGGGAAGAAGGTAATTCAAGATAGACAAATGTAAGTTGTTTGACAGGGTCACACTGGACAGCACAGTTCCCTTGAAGAGAGGGAAGTAATCAGCAAAGTATGCATGATTGTCTGCTCACAGAACACCTGTGAAGCATACAATATTTTAAATGGCAACAATACAGGTGGTTGAATGTTATCCTTACTCCTTCTCATTATAGCCTTTTTTACATCTAGAGGCTCTAAATCTCCTTAGATGTGAAGAGAAAGTAACAATACTTGTAGAGCATCCTCTCCCATTGATTCTGCTCCCTATTCAAGGTCAAGGAAATGTCTGCAGTACATAAAAGAGTAGTTGGTGCTTTTATTTTCTTCATGGCTTAGGAAACAGAGTTAATATTTTTTAAGTGAAAACAATTCAAACAGCTCAGCAATTTGTACAAATATGAAGATGTTTGGATTGCTGTGATTCTTAAAAGAGGTTATACAAAAAACTTATGCTCAAAGTGAACTTTTTCCTGTTTGTGTATTACTTTTCTGCCCCTAGTGGCCCATTTGCACTATTCTTGCCTTCAGGATGTAGTGCAAAGGTAAAGGAATGTCCCATTGAGACTCTCTTCCATAACATGTATTCCCATGAAATCCTTCATATTGACTTTCCAGAAATTAAGGTAGATAATTTTGCTCTGGTGCAACCAGTGCACCACGTTGTTCAGTCTTAAATTTTGATTCCAAGTTAAAACTCCGAATAGCTCTCAGAATTTTGAGTCAGATGTTTAGTTTGTGTAGTCCTTCCAATAAGAGCCTTCCTGTGTACTTGTGAAGCAAGGTCATCCAAAGGTCAGCAAGCAACAAGATTAAAAATACAGGATGGCATACAACTTTAAATCTGGGATGATAAGTGCCTTAAAAATAGTATGGTTTGGTGATGTCATCTTTCAACATGCAAGGCCCACTTGAGCAGTTTTAATGTGTTCATGTAGTCACCACATTTTAAGAATCTAAATGTGTATTAAGAAAGTTTCTAGCTGGCAGATTCTGAGTTTTCTGAAGGGAGATAAATGTTATCTAATATGTATGTTTTTTTCGTGACTTAGCCTGAAGGGAAGTCTTACCTGGAAAAGATAACCAGTCTCATCAGAGAAGTTGTAGATCTTGCTTCCAGACTTCTGTGATGGCATGTAAGATACTAGCATTGTTTGCATCACTGATTACATTTCAATGGACAGAATAAGGTGATGTGAGTTTTTGGAAATATTAGCAACTGAAGAACTACAGAAGAAAAACAAATATAAAATCAGGGAAAGAAGAGCAATGCACATAAAAGAATAGTGCAAAGGAAGAAGGAAGAGAAAAATTGATAACTTTGAAGAGGAACATGCTTCCTAGCTGAAAAAGACTGAAAGAGATAATATGATTAGTTAATAAATGACAAGATAATTTACTTTCAGTATTGCCAGCCTCGCTTAGGCATTGCATTTAATTTATCATAGTTCTTTGACTTTCGATAGTACTGAGAAATGGAGCATCCTAGATGTTGTTATCCTTGGAAGAACAAACGTTTTGGGAACCATGCAAGCCTACATTTTGGAACATTCTGAGTAGGGGATGGATTAGCGTGAAGTACCCACAGGATATTTGCTGCTCAGCTGGCTTGCTAATCTTTGCTTAATTGATGTAGTCCTGTCATCTGAGTTGCTGCTTCCTTTTACTTTCCTTTACTTTTTATTAGTTTAGTGCACTGAAAAGTTGTATAAAATACACATTAAATTGCTGTTACTGCTAATTTTCTTTTCACAATCATCAGTGGGCATAGTATATTACCACCACATAGGTATATCTAGTTTCTGTCAGCAGATTTTCCTGACACTTGACAGCATAAGTACTACTTTAATGAAATAATTACTAGAGAGGTAAGAATAAGTAACACTAATTGCATTTATTTGATATGAACAGCAACATTAAAGCCTTCAAAGAGCAGAATCTCTGTTTGACAGGACCATTTCATCCTATCAATGTGCTGCCATGAGTAAAATTGATATATAAATAAGATTCCAACTTTAGATTGTTCCAAAAGTAATCCTCCCATTTATTTCAATGGAAAGTACAACAGATACAAACAGCATTACCATGCAATTTGATAGAGAAAATTCTCAGCTACAAAACATTATTTTTCAACATAGTCACCACCATTAGTTCTGCATTTTCATCGGCAGAGCATGCTTACACTTGTAAAAATCTGCACTATCAGAGCTGCCCCCCTGTCACCAATGCTGAAATGCACCACCTGCTGCCTCACAGTGCTCACATCTACTAATTGGTCTCTATAAACATTCAGCAAGTGATGATGAATGTCAGTGGGTACCTGTATGGGAATTGCTGAATCACAGCCTGAACCTCTGATTGATCACCTGAGGTGAGCAATGAGTCAGCCACAGGAGCACAGGTGAAGGCAATTCACCTAGACTCATTTAAGAACTGAGTACCAGTGGGAACGGATCTCTTCTGGAGATCCATCCTCTGGAGTTTTGTAGCAAACCTAGGATGCAAGTAAGCTTTCTGTATATTTTCTTTTTTTTCTTTTTGTTATTATAATCTGCTTTGCTAAACTCTCTTGTTTATTTCATAATTATAACATCTTTATATTCATCAACTGTACAGTATCATTTTTCTACAGAGAAGAATTTAGTTCCACGCTTCTGTTTCATCTGCGCTTCCATGTC